GTCTGGGACTCAGGTGCCACCCCCTCACTCCCCCGCACCAGCCACAAAGCTTGAGGCCGAGCTGGCCTGAGACCACAGCAGCCCCCACCCCAGAGCTCCAGGTCCCAGGAGGCCAGGCTCACTCCTGCACCAGCTCCGTGAAGACCCATGCAGAGCCGGGCGCTGCCTGCTGGGCCTGCGATAGGGACCAGCCTTGAGCCACAGGCACCTGTGATGATGCCTGGAGAGGTGGGCAAAGTCCTCAGCCTGGCCACAGCGCCCTCCAGCACCACCTCCACGCCCAGATGCAACCATGTGGCATCCAGCCTCTGCAGAGCCCTGACCACCTCCCTCTGGCTTCTGCGTCCTCAGATGCCCGGTAGCCCCAAGCATCCTGCACTCCAGCCTCGAGGCTTCCGGTGCCTGCTACCTCCAGCAGGGGCAGGCACCCACATGTCCACTGACCACCCGCCCAGCCGGCCTGGGATCTCTTGCCCCTTCTCAGCTTCCCAGCTTCCACAGGCGCCAATGCTGAACACAGGACAAGCTGGCATGAGATACTCTGGCCTGGCCTGGTGGGCGCCAGCAGGTCCTCACGGAGGAATGATGGAATAACAGAGCCAGCGGGAGGCCCCAGGGTGGGGCAGGAAGGGGACGGTGTCTGCTCACCTTGGCTAGGCTGCTCCACACAGCCTTCTCCCAGGGGCCCGACTGCCGAGGCCACGTTGTCATAGCAACAGCCGAACCGGGAGCCCCGGCAGTCACTGGGCTCACTCTGCTGGGCCTGGGGCCGGTGGGCATCAGGAGGCTGGGGAGGAGACCCAGGAGGGGAGATGGGAGGGTCTGGTGTCTGGTGGGGAGGAGGAAGGAGAGAGGAGGCGGAGAGGGGTACAGAACGCTGGGCCCGGGAGAGGACTGGCTGAAGCCCAGGGCCCCAGAGGACGACCCTGACCGTCCAGGGACCGCCTTCCTCCGAGGCCAAAGCTGCCAGGCCCCTAGGACACTGCACCGGCTCAGGAGCCACCTCCCGCCCCTCACGTGAGCTGGACACTTACCACAGAAGCCACTGGCCCAGACCCCAGCCTGCTCCCGGAGCTGTCGTCGCTTGATGACCTCGCACAGCCAGCCCCGTCAGGGCAACACCCGTCCCTAGTCAGACATCACATAGAACACACTGCCCCATCGCCCCCAGACCCCGTCAGGGTGCCACCTGTGAGCCCCGGTCTCAGCCACGTCTGACCTCCACAGCCACAGGGCCGGTGGTAGCTCCACAGCGCGAGGCTGAGCCCTTGCACCCCCAAGCTGAGGGGGTGGACACCTCTGACACCCAGATGTCAGGTCCCCGGGGGTTTCTGTCAAACAGCGGCAGAAGAGGCAGGAAAGGGGCTCAGGAGCCCACTGTGGGCTTCATGTCCCCGAGCAGGTGGGAAAGGCAGGGTCCCTGGATACATCTATGTGTGCTCTCGATGTGTGTCATCCTCGCAATAGCCCCACCCTGTGGCTGTCGCTGTTCCCAGTTCTCAGAAGAGGAAGTCAAGATCAGAAGAGGCTAAGTCACTGGCCCCAGGTCACCCAGTACACAGCTGGCAGGCTGCTGGCCACAAAGCCCCACCCTCTGCACCCCCAGCCAGAGGCAGGCCAGGATACTTAGGGCAGGAGGAGAGCCACCCACAGGGCCGGAATGGCCCAGGCCTTCTACAAGGCTGCAGCAGGCAGGACTGTCAGGAAACAGTCAGCCTCTGTCCCGCCCCCAGGCTGGGTCCTCCAGCCTGCCATGACTTGACAGGAGACCTGGAGCCCCAGGCCACGCCTCGGGCCACACCTGGGCTGGCTACAGAGAAGGCAGGCTGTGTGTCCCTGCCTGGCACAGCAGGAAGCTTGAAGGAGGCCCAAGAGCTCACACTCAGGGCCACTCCCAGTCCTGCAAGCCCTTGACACACCCACCTCCCTCTGAGCCAGAGGAGGGTGTGCCGTCTCCGGAGCCCACCTGCTCTGCTGGCATGGAGTCCCGGGGCAGCCTTGCCACTGCGGCCCGAGTGACGCCGTGTGGCCGTCGGGGCAGCACCCGTGGGGGCTGTGTCTGCAATCACGTGGCCCTGAGCCAGATGGCAGCTGCTGTGTGTGTGGGGCCTGCCACACAGAGGGTGCTGCACCCGGGCCCAAGAGGTGGGGGCTCAGCTCTCCCAGGAGGCCGTCCTGGGCCTGGGGGAGCACCTGCCCTGCCCACGGGTCTCTGGAGTCTAGAAGGAGGAAGCGGCAGAAGACACATCCCTTGTTCTTCCCCCATCCTGTCCACATTGGACCCCTTCCTCCACCTCTGACCTCCACCTCCAGGCACCATCTACTCACACGAAGGCAGCGGGGCCTGGATGGGGGCTGCACCCAAGCCCTCACCTGAGGCGGGGAGCTGATGAGGGTCCAGAGGCTGGGTGGGTGTGTCCTGCACACTGGAGACCTCTGTAGGGGGGTGGAGGAAGGAGGAGAGGGTGGGCCTGGACCCTGACCAGCTGTCCAGTGCTGGCTTCACCCGCTGCCCAGGGAGGGCCTAGGTCCAGGACAGCACCAGGGAAAAGGGCAGGACATGACGCCCCAAGACACCCGTCAGGCTTCAAGGGACTCCCGTCACACAGAAAATGTTGCCTTGCATGTTCAGCAAGAAGCTCCAGGCATAAAGTTAGCATCTATCTTATGATCTCAGCTACATAAAACAAGAAATGGAACACATGTTTTTTAAAAAAATTGGACTGATGAAAAGACAAACAATCCAATTTTAAAATGGGCAAAGAACTTAGACATTCTCTCCAAAGACACACAGATAATAAGCACAAGATGCTCAAAGTCACTAGGTACTAGGAAAATGCAAATCAAAACCACAAGACCCCACGCCACAGCTGCCACGGTGTCTGAAACCAAAGACTGAAATGACACATTAAATACCACCAAGTGGTACACTTGAAAAGGGCGAACTATATGCTATGCCAATCTCCCATCCATGAAACATCCTATATTAAAAAAAAATTGGATTGATGTGTGAAAACACAGAAAGAGACTTGAAGCAAAGAAACAAACACAGTAGAACATCAGCTGTGGAACTCGGATGGTGGGTGTGGCAGCTCACTGTGTTTCTTTCAACTTTCTGAAGGTTCAAAGTGTTTCATCATCTTGTTGCCCAACTTGGTAGATGTACTGAAAATCATTGTACCATTAGAATGGGTGATTTTAGGCCATATGGTATTTAAACAATCTTAACAAAGTTTTCAAAAAGATTTTTCATGACAAAATGTTGGAAAAAATTACAGATGAGCAGAGAAACTCAAGACAATGAAAAATGTTTTGAAATGATGCCTAAAAGAAAATTTGCAGGACACAGGACACACCCAAAATGCTCATAGTGAACATTCCTACATGCTTGGGGGAGTCCTTTACTTCTATTTGTTGGTGTTTTTCAAATTTTCCAAAATAAATATATTGTTATATATAAAGTTATAAAGAATAAAATAAAGCCAGGAGTGGTGACTAATGCCTGTAATCCCAGAAATTTGGGAGGCAGAGGAGAGAGGACTGCCTGAGTCCACGGCTTCGAGAACAGCCTGGGTAGCTTGATGAGACTGTGTTTCTACAATTAACTAAAAAAAAATTAGCCAGGCATGGTGGCACACACCTGTAAATCCAGCTACTTAGAAGGCTGAGGTAGAAGGATCACCTGAGCCCAGGAGGTTGGAGTGCAGTGGCCATGAGCATGCCACTGCACTCCAGTCTGGGTGGCAGAGTGAGACTCCAATTCAAAGACAACAACAACAAAAAAGAATAAAATAAGTGAATAGTCCCTTCCCATGTGGAATGCACCTTGCCAGTCCCCAGGAGTAGTAAAAATAATAATTCGGAAGCTGGGCTCGGTGGCTCAGCCTGTAATCCCAGCGCTTTGGGAGGCTGAGGTGAGTGGTTTGCCTAAGCCCGCAGGTTTGAGACCCACCTGGGCAACTTGGTGAGACCTCATCTCTACAATAAATAAAAAAAATTAGCAGGGTGTGGTAGCCCACGCTTGTAGTTCCAGCTACTAGAAAGGCTGAGGCGGAAGGATCGCCAGAGCCCAGCAGGTCGAGGCGGCGGTGGCCAGGAGCGGCCATTGTACTCCAGTCTGGGCGACAAAGTGAGACTCCAACTGAAAAAAAAAAAAATTGGGGGTTGGATATCTTTGTCTTACCTTCCTTTCTTATCACAGCCCAGCCAAAACCTGGGACAAAGCTGACCTAATCCTTCCCTGGATCTGTCACAAGCCACATGCTCTCTCCCCACATTCACGATCCCCAGTCTGAGAGCTTCTGCCTGCAGTCCTGTCCCTTTGTCACCACAAATATAAAGGCATCTTGGCCAAGCCTGTCCTGCCATCTGCTCTTGTCCTCCGTTTCTAAGGCGAAACACGGCCCTGCCTACCCTCAGAGCACATCTCTAGGGATTCCTGCAGTCAATGCCCACAGACTCCTGCCCCCATTTGTCTCACCCTCAGTATGGGCCAAACTTATCCTCCTAAGTAGCATTCATGGCATCCCTCTCTACCTCCAAAATGTTCAACGGCTCCCCTGGGCCTATTAGATAAATTTAGCCCGAATCCAGAGGCCTGAAGCCCCCCAGCATCCGCCCTAGCTCTAAAAACATCACCCCTGAATAAACCACTGTCACCATCCCCGCCCTGGGCTGAAGGCCAGTTCTGGGGGGTCCTACTGGTCTCAGAGCCACTGAGTGGCTGTAACAACCGAGGAACTGAATTTTGCGTTTATTTAAGTAATTGCAATTATTTAAATAGATGCAAAATTCAGTTCCTCAGTTGCAAATAATTTTAAGTTATTATTTATTTATTTTTTGGAGTCAGAGTCTCACTCTGTCGCCCAGGCTGGAGTGCTCAACCTGCTGGGCTCAGGCGATCCTTCTGCCTCAGCCTTCTAAGTAGCTGGAACTATAGGTGCGCACCACCATACCTGGCTTACCTTTTGATTTATTGTAGAGACGGGGTCTCACCAAGTTGCCCAGGCGGGTCTCGAACCCCTGAGCTTAGGTAATCCTCTCGCCTTGGCCTCCCAAAGGGCTGGGATTACAGGCTTGAGCCACTGCGTCATAATTTTAAGTTTAAAACTGATTCTTGATTTATATATTGGAAAACATTTAAGTATGTCTGGAACAACATTGCTATGCAAATCTATTTTTCAACTGTAAGTTTTATGAAATCTATATATAGATCAAGTATTCCAGTAAAAATTCAGCATCTGAAGTGAGATGTGCTGCAAGTGTAGACTATGCATGGGGATATCCAAAGTTGAGTCCTTAAAAATCTTGCAAAGGAAAATGCAAAATATCTCTGATTTTTGCACCGATTACATGTTGAAAATATTTACACTGGGTTAAATAAAATATATTCTCCAATATAAATTCACTTGAACTTTTTACTCTTTGTTTTTGGGGGGTTTTTGCTTTTGTTTTTGTTTTTGAGTTGGAGTTTCACTCTGTCTTTCAGGCTGAAGTGCAGCAGCATGCTCACGGTCACTGCAACCTCAACCTGCTGGGTTCAGGCGACCCCTCCGCCTCAGCTTTCCAAGTAGCTGGAACTACAGGCATGAGACACCACGCCCGGCTAATTTTTTATTTATTTATTGTAGAGATGAGGCCTTGCCAAGTTGCCCGGGATGGTCTCAAACCCGTGAGCTCAGGCAATCCTCTCACATCAACCTCCCAAAGTGCTGGGATCATAGGCGTGAGCCACCGCACCTGGCTATTCTTGTTTTTTGAGTTGGGGTCACACTCTGTTACCCAGGCTGGAGTGCAGTGGCACAACACAACCTCCGCATCCTTGACCGCCTGGGCTCAGGCAATCCTTCTACCTCGGTCTCCTGAGTAGATGGGACTATAAACATGCACCATCACACCTGGCTAATTGTTTTTCTTTTTTATAGAGACAAGGTCTTGCTATGTTGCCCAGACTGGTCTGGAACTCCTGGGCTCAAGTGATCTTCCTGCCCTGGTCTGCCATCACGCCTGGCCTTCTTTTTACTTTTTAGCATGGCTCTAAAAAATCTGGAATGACATATGTGACCTGCATTCTACTTCCGGAGAATGATACTCCAGAGTCTAGAAAGAGGTGGCGGCAGAAGATGCAGTGAGGTGTCCATTTGGAAGCCTGCCCTTAGCGGGCCTCCTCTTGGACGCCTCTCCCTGAGACCACAGCCTCCGAGGCACACACCAGTACACACCACAGCACTAGTTACAGAACCCAAAACACCAAAAATCACCTAAATTCTACACTATCACCCACCGTGGACTTTGGTGGGCTCCTCAGAAATCATGAGACTGAAACATGTTCACACACAGAATGGCATTAGGGGGAAGAGGCAGATACAAAGATACACACGTTACAGGGAAACACAATAAAGACTAATCCCACTAATGGATGGGACTAAGGGAAATTTTAATTTTTCTCTAGGTATGACTTTTCTAATTTCTCCAGGTTTTCCACAAATGAGCATTCAGTAATGAGAATAGTGGCTGGTGCCACCAGCACCCGCTGCACGTTGTCCAGGGCCTGGGATGAGTCTGTCCTGCCCACTGCCACTGGCGTTCACACACATACAGGCGAGGTTAGGTCTAACCCACCCTCTGCCACCACAGCTAATGCCAACATACAACATCCTGGGCCTGAGGACAGGTAAGCACTGCCCACCGTGACCTGTGTCTAAGTGTGTCATCTGGGCATCTGATCCTGCCCACTGCTGCAGCTGTTGCCTACACCATTGAAGGATGAGCCCAGAATCGCCACTGGCCTGAGGATGAGCCCAGAATCACCACCAGCCTCCACACGCACACCATGCCAGGGCCAGGAGATCAATCCACCCCATCTGGCACTGCCAGTGCCCATATACACCATCCGGGGGCCTGAGGACAGGGTCACCCTGCCCACCATCACCATCACTGGGGCCAGAGGACCAACATGCCTGGTGTCCTCATCTCCCAAAGAGCCTCACCATAGTCTCCACTAACAAATGCAGTCCAAGTCACTGAGGAACTGACACCACTGATGTCTGACTACCACTGAACGGACACCACTGGTGTCTGACACCACTGATGCTGACTACAGCCAGAAAGATCACAGAGACTACACCACTGCATCCACCCAGAATCAAAGCCAAAGCTCCCTATCCAACCAACACTACAGGTACATCTACAGGAAAAAAATCTTTCCCTAAAACCTTAGTCAATAAAGTTAGAAGAAGAGACTGCTACACCAGATGCACAGATATCAATACAAGGACACAAGAAACACAAAAAAGCAAAGAAACATGACAACTTCAAAGGAACACAATCATTCTATCACAATCTCAAATAGATTCCAAAGAAAAGGAAATGTATGAAATGGCTATAAAAGAATTCAAAACAATGATATTAAGATAGCATGCTCATTGCACCAGACCCTGCTCCGGTCTGCAACAGCCACCATTCAGCAGCTGGAAGGAATATGTCACCTCGTGGACAGTACAGGCTTTGATGAATACATGAAGG